GAAACGGGCAGCCTGCGGGGCCACCTCGGGGCAACTCGAGGGTTGGTTTTACTCGTTGCTTGACCTGTCCAGTGTGCCCTGAGAACGAGATACGTGCGACTCCTATTGGGATTTGTCGGCACATCGGGCGCCTTTGCTGGTCTTGTTTTACCATTGTCGAAAAGTCTTGTAACCGGGATCCCGAGTCTAATCGGGTCTTCCTGGGAGAAGGAATATCCTTCGTTGACCGTGAGAGCTTGTGATGGGCTAAGTTGGGACACCCCTGCAGGGTTTTGAACTTTCGAAAGTCGTGCCCGTGGTTATGGGCAAATGGGAATTTTTTAATGTCCGATTGTAGAGAACTTAACACTTAATTTAATTAAAATGCATCAACCGCGTGTGTAGCCGTGATGGTCTCTTTTCGGCGGAGTCCAGGAGGTGAACACGGTTCTTGGGTTATGTTTGTGAGTATGTAGTTTCAGGATCACTTCTTGAGTACTTCTAGTTCACGACCGTTTCATTGCTTCTCTTCTCGCTCTTATTTGCGTAAGTTAGCCACCATATATGCTAGTGCTTGATGCAGCTCCACCTCACTACCCTTTCCTACCCATAAGCTTAAATATTCTTGATCTCGCGGGTGTGAGATTGCTGAGTCCCCGTGGCTCATAGATTACTTCCAAAACCAGTTGCAGGTGCCGATGATACCAGTGCAGATGACGCAACCCAGCTCAAGTGGCAGCTCGATGAAGATTGTGTTTGTTGTGTTGTTTCGTTTCCCATTGATCAGTAGTGGAGCCTAGTCGGGGCGATCGGGGATCTAGCATTTGGGGTTGTGTTTATTTATGTTTGTTCCATAGTCGGACCTTGATTGTATTCTTGATGATGTAATGCTATATTCATGTATTGTGTGCAGTGGCGATTGTAAGCCAACTCTTTATCCCTTTCTTATTCAGTACATGGGATGTGTAAAGATTACCCCTCTTGCGACATGCCTACTATGCAGTTATGCCTCTAAGTCGTGCTCCGACACGTGGGAGATATAGACGCATCGTGGGTGTTACACTAACCAAGAGTTCGTACTAAAATAACACCAAAGCAAATTCAGATTCATAATATTCAATCCAACACAAAGAACTTTAAAGAGTGCCCCAAGATTTCTACTGGAGAAACATAGAAAAGAACGTGCATCAACCCCTATGCATAGATTACCCCAATGTCACCTCGGGAATCTATGAGTTGAGTGCCAAAACATATATCCAGTGAATCAATACAATACCCCATTGTCACCACGAGTATTCAATTGCAAGACATATATCAAGTGTTCTCAAATCCATAAAAGTATTCAATCCGATAAAATGAAATCTCAAAGGGAAAACTCAATTCATCACAAGATAGAGAGGGGAAAACACCATGTGATCCGACTATATTAACAAAGCCCGTGATACATCAAGTTCATGACATCTCAAGAACATGAGGGAGAGAGAGAGAGAGAGATTAAACACATAGCTACTGGTACAAACCCTCAGCCCCGAGGGTGGACTACTCCCTCCTCATCATGGTGGCCGCCGGGATGATGAAGATGGCCACCAGAGATGATTCCCCCCTCCGGCAGGGTTCCGGAACATGGTCTAGATTGGTTTTCGGTGGCTACAGAGGCCTGCGGTGGCGGAACTTCTGATCTAGGGTTATTTCTGATGGTTTCCCTATTTATTGGATTTTTTGGCGTCGGTTTCACGTGAAGATGGGCCTCGAGGTGAGAACAACCCATCGGGGCGAGCCTGGCCCACCAGGTGCGTCCTGGTGGGTTGTGTCCTCCTTGTGGCTCTTCTAGCCCTCCCACGAAGCTTCGGGGGTCTCTTTTGTTCCAAAAAAACTCATCAAAAAATTTCAGCTCATTTGGAGAACTTTCATTTCTGCACAAAAAACAACACCACGGTACTTCTGCTGAAAACAGCGTCATTCTGGGTTAGTTCCATGCAAATCATACCTAAACCATATAAAATTGTTGTGAACATGGCATGAATACTTCATAAATTATAGATACGTTGGAGATGTAACAGTAGGCACTAACACATTCTCTTCTTTTGCAGATAATAATAGGCCGGGAGGTGGATAATGTTTATAACGACAATCACATCGAATGCTTGGATCTGCATCTCTCAAATATTACTTTGAACTCCTATCGAGGTACCTTACTGGAGATTACACTTGCCAGTTCTTTCTTGCCAAAGCAAGGGTGCTGAGGGTACTGAGGTTGAACATGCATTTAATTAGGAAAGATGAATGGTATGTTGATCAGAGCCGGCAGGTACTGCAGAATGGAAGAGGCTCCAAAAAAGCTAAACTTCGTATTGGAAGAGCATATGACAGAGCAATTGGAAGTCATTGTGTCAAACCCATACATGACTTGTCAGCGGCTGATCCCTTTGCAGAAATGACGATGTTTGCAATGTTTGAATTTGGGCATTCTAATCTATGAATTTGAACCTTGCAATATTTATGGTATTTGTTATATAACGTAATTGGATGTTTAATTTGGTATTGCAAACATGCCATGTTACAAGTATATATGTTGTTGTTCTGTGCACAGAGCATATCACAACACACACGGACCACACTAGGTAACCCGTCAGCCATGAATTCATCAAGCGCAAACGGTTATATATCAGCAAGCGTTTGCCCATAGTTTGTCTTATTTATCATGTATCACTGTGCCGGCCTCTACTCGCGTCCTCCGGCAAGCTGTGCTCGCCGTTAGGTGCCGCGGCGCGCTCTGCTCGCGTCCGTCGGCGCGCTCGGCTTGTGGACGGTTTTTCCTTGCGTGTTCAATTACTATATGCATATATATGGTTGCTCGCCATTGAGGCGACCATGGAGCACTCTGCTCGCGTCCATCTGCACACGCTCTACCAGCGGTTGGGCGTGCGCACGATCACGTCGGGGGGCCCATATGCATGCGGTTGCGCCGCGCGTGTTGCCACGCGATGGAGTTATGTGCGGCATGGAGTTATGCTCTATAAATTAGAAATGCCATCAGGGCCTGCCGATATTCCAAGCTGTCCGGCTTCCCCTTTAATTCCCACGGCCATTATAACTTTAGTCTCTTCAACCTTTCGGTCGCGCCCCACAACACAACAAGCACACCCAGGACGACACATAGAGAGGGGATGTCTAGCGGCGCTCCAATGGAGTTCGGCGAACATAAAATGGAGACCCACGCATGGGAGACAGATCTCTCGGTGGTGTACACCATCTACCCGGATGTGGTGGACGACTACATCA